CAAGATCTAATGTACAACACGAAGACTATCATTAATAGCACATTGTATTCAGGATAGTTGCTAAATGAGTAGATTATAGCCGCTCGTGCCATAGGGGATGAAATGGATAACTCTGTGACGTGATAGATATTTTAATTCATCTAACTATAATGACCATTTTACTCTATATATGCATTTCATAACATCATGTTGTATACCTTAAATAGATGCAAAAAATTTTTTTTAATTCTCAACTCATAAGGAATGCTCCTCCTCCATTCAAATAGTGAAAGGGAAAAGGTAAGTGATGTGGGTTGTCAAAATGGCTGACTGTAGAAATCACCAACAAGGTTTAGAGGAGTACTGAAAAGTTGATAAGACTCTAGAAACAGAAGTAAAGATGGTGACTGATTGATTGATTGATTGATTGATTGATTTTAGAATTAAGATAACCCTGAAAGGGAAGGGTTGCTCTTGGCCTTTGATTCGGCAGTCAGCTTTGCACAAGACAGGCTTGGGACACTGCCTTTATGGTTCTGTGTGTACTGCACTCCCTCTGGAAGAGGAATCAAGTTGTAGGGTCACCCTTGGGGTCATAATTCTGAGACTTTTACCCACCCTTGCTTGCACATATGCATAACTTCACAAAAGGGTAGCCATAGGTTACACACACACACACACACACACACACACACACTCACTCTCTCTCTCTCTCTCTCCCCGGATTTCCTAATATTATAAAGGATACCAGTGTGTGGTGTTGTAGAAAGACTTTCATAAGTAAAAACCTAGAAAATATGAAAGTAGAATTACTTAACTTTTAAAAATTCTAGTTAATATATTAATAAGTTCTTAGTCCTTTGAGATTTTTAGGATCTGAGGTGTTATGGAACTTTATTTAATAATTGGCTAGATCCAGGTCGTAGGAGAATATTCTGACCATCTACCAGCAGTTAGGGTACATTCTTCCCTTATTCTCCAAAATGTGCAATTTACTTGGTGCTTATAGTTTCTTTTGAATGTTTACAGTTATTTCCAGAAGAATTTCAGCATTTTATAAGTTAGTCTAGTATTCTTAAAGAATTCAGAAAGAATATAACAAATCATCAATGGGGAAAAGCCTCATTCTTACAAGTAAGTAAGGACTTCAGCACACGATTAAATTTCCTAGGGCTGGAGTCACTGGATTGATAGGCTTACACACAGTAATGCTAATAAAAACCTCTTGGAAACACATTTTCCATTTATAACTATGAAGGAAAATGCAGGCCTTTCATCAGGCCTTTTTCTCATTATCAGAATGTTTTTTGCTCAATGGCAAGTAGACATCAATGTTAAAATCAGGTAAAAACATAGATTCTTGAAGATATGAAATGACTGCAATTTTAGGTCTCAAAATTGATACTATTCATAAAAGTGGTTGACAAATACATTTAAAATTATAATTCATTTTTGCATTCAAATCATAATTTTAGATAAGGTGAGTAAAAGTGTGCCCATTATTAGAAAATTTCCTAAAGCCTTGTCATTGTCATATAACAACCAATAACAGATTTTCATAGCTAAATTGAGTTGAAGCTTTTCTGTTGGCGGCATGTCTCCATTCCCCCAGAATGAAAACTTCCTGCCTCACTTTTGACTTTACAAATGGCGCAGGTACTTCTTTCCTTCCTTTTTCATTCCTTCCTTCAATAAATATTTATAAAGTATCTACCAATCAACTAGATAATAGGTGCCAGGATTACAGTAAACAAAGGAGGCAAAGTCACAAGAAACAAAGAAGTATCCGACATAATGTTAGCTAGCGATAAATACTGGGAAGAAAAATAAAACAGGGAAAGGGGACAGAGAGGGACAGGGTTTTACAAAGGATTCCCTGGAGGTGACATGTGAGTATAGAACTAAATTAAGTAGGAAAGTGAATCATGCAGATATCTAGGGCAGTGATTCTTAACCAGGGTGACTTTGCCTCTCCAGGGACGTTTGGTGTCTGGAGAAGTTTTTAATTGTCACAACTGGGGGAAGGGACAGTACTGGCATCTGGTGGATAGAGAACAAGGATGCTGCTAAACACCCAATGCTGCAGAGGGCAGGTCCCTGTAGCAAAGAATTATACAGCTTAAAATGTCACTAGCACTGAAGTTAAGAAACCCTGATCCAGAGAAAGAGCATTCCAGGATAAGAAGAAAGTAAATAAACACAATAGGCCATGAGATGGCAACTTGCTTGATATATTCAAGGAAGAACTAGGGGGTGTATGTCACTGAAGCACAATGACAAGCAGCTGCATTTCAGGAAAAGAATTTGGAAGATAGCTCAGGGCCACGTCACATGGGGTAACAGGAAAGATTCCTGCCTCTCATTTGTCTGCTCTGCTTCCCTCTTTATTAAGCTCCTATTCCAAATTCCCCAAGGAGAACTAGCTGGCTTTGTTGGCAGATGTCCTAGGAAGTTGACTGGGTTTTGGTGGGAGACAAGGATTTCACGTATGCATTTGCCTGAAGAGTACATTCAAACCCATCTTGCACCGTGATGCATCTTAGAGTTGGCTCTCCACAGGTTGGGAAGATCATTTCACTAACGTTCTGGAATAGAGTTTTCGAGTGTGGTCATTACTAGTCTCATGGCTCTTTGAATGTATATTAGTGAAAATGAAATAAAATTAAACATTCAGCTCCTCCAATGTACTAGCCAAATTTCATTCCTAACAGTCATATGTAATCCTCATGCTAAGTGTGGAACTCTGACTGCCCTCAGCCTCTGGGGCCATTTTCTATATTGCTCTTATCCTGACCCTCCCTAGACTTTTTGTGCAGAGATACCCACTGACCTCTTGGAAGGGCAGCCACTTTGGTATTTTTCAGGTGCACAGATAAGTGTCCTCCACTGGCTCCAGGCCTTCTCAGATGGCATGTGGATGACTACCAGGTTTATGCTTGATTGGCTAGCCCACTGCCCTTGTTTTTTTTAATGATGGTTCATAGGGGATCCTGAAGTCCTTTTGGGTTGGCAACTTGCCTTTAGAGCTCTGGTTCTGAGTCTGATTTGCATCATTTCTCCTCACTGTGTTATTTTCCACTTGCCCACACTGTGACTTCTATTTTGCTTTTCTGCCCACACAACAGAGATTTTGTTCTAAGATATGAGTATTACTCAGTGACTCTGTTTTCTAACTTTAAAAATAAGTTTAAAGAACAAAGTATATTCAGAATTGCAGATACGGATTTCATATTTCTACTTAGTACATTGTATGGTATGTGCTTTGATTTTGTTTGTTGGATGTGTTCTTCTAGAAATGAAATACCAGGCATTATATTAAGCTGGCAATGGCTCAGATTTGAAAGGACAACAACGCTAAGATGAGAATTAGGCTCCTCAGGTTGGGCGCAGTGGCTCATGCCTGTAATCCCAGCACTTTGGGAGGCTGAGGCAGATGGATCACGAAGTCAGGAGTTCAAGACCAGCCTGACCAATATGGTGAAACACTGTCT